CTATAGAATATCTTGCACAATAACCAAAGATACACAGGAGACAATGGGGTAGATGGTAAATTGAACTCAATCACTTAAATGTAAATTCTTGTATCCAGTACTAGCACACGTGACCTGGCCAAAACCAAGTACTGTATGTTGTAAGAGATGAGTCCAGCTGTGTAATATATGGAATGCAATGAAGTGTTAATATTGAACTATTTGTAGTAGCAGTGGAATACAAGGAATAGATTTTAAGGGCATAGGCATTGTATGAAGGTGTGCAATGCATATCACATATGAACCAAAGAGTCAAAAGGATGTGGGTAATGCAAAGTCCAGGCTGGTTATGGGACGGCCTATTTGGGTAGTGGAGCGGTGCAGCATTCAGCAAACCCAACTTAAACAAGCTTTATTCTCCCCCAATGCTAGTTGCATTTTCTTTGATGGGCAGTGCATCATCCGTATCAAAGTAAATGGCAGCAAACGTCCTAATTATGTCACCATGCAACAGACAGGTAAGAGGGGCGCGGTGCGATTGCTGCAGCCGCGTTAACACTGTGTAAAGGGGCGGGGTATTGCAGGCTCCGCATTTTGATGTACCCCGCCACTGTTTTACATCCCGAACGCTACCCTGGACTTCACGTGCCATCACTGAGCTCCGGGCTACCTCTGACGGCCCTCGGGGGAGCTCAGAAAAAGAAAGGAAGGGGAAGCCGAAGGACTGCAGCTGTGCACCTTAACCCCTCTCTCCCGCCTCGCTCCATGGACGCCACGAAAGCGCCATTGGAAGGAGAGCTATCGCTAGACAGGCAGGCGCAGCTGGCCAATCGCAATCCCTACTGGGACGGCAGAAGAGAAGGAGGCGATTTCGGCGGCGAAGCTTGAGAAGGTTGCTATGAGGCTGGCTTGGGGCGGAGCGGTAAAAGGGCCAATGGGTGGAGAGAGTGGACCCCGATGAGTCGGCCGAGCGACCAGTGGAAGCCCGGCAGGGATTTGGGGAGGGGAAGGCGGGACCAGCGGGGCGTGCTCGGTGTGGCGCTAAAGGCGCCGCGAGCGGGGGCGGGGCGGCTAGTGCGGACTCAGTTCGAGCGCGCGCCGGGGAAAGCGGCTCAGCGCCGAGCAGCACCGGCCGGGCGGCTCATCGGAGCGGCTGCGCTCGCTGGGGGAGGCGCGAGAAGAGGCGGGGGGGGTGCCCCCCCCCCCCCCCTCCCCCCCCCTCCCCCCATTTCCCCCCTCGTCTGGGGAGGAAGACGGGTGGGCGGCCAGCGGGAGAAAGGATTGCGGGGCCTCGCCTCGGGCTGGGGTCTCCCTGGACCCTCGGCCATATCCTCCACCTGTCCCTCCTGCGCCCCGTTCGTGCCCCCCCCTTCGGAGCGCCTTGCAAGATGCGTGGAAGGAGTGGCTCCTCCTTTGCCCGGGCGATGGATTGAATGGCGTTGCTGATACGGTCTCCTTTTCTGCCGCCGCTCGCAGAGATACGCGCCTAGACGTGGTCTGTCCGAGGGGCTGAGGGTCCTGGGGCCGGGTAACAGCAAAGCGCACGTGTCCCTTTGTTTGAGGGGTGAGGTTGTGGGATGAATGGGGAGGGGGCGAGCGAAGGAAGGAGAGACGCCCTTTTGACTTGCCTGGGAAGGAGGGTATAATACCACCCCGTGACATTGTGCGGTGGAGCTGCTGCTCGCCGATTCCGAGCTCTTTGTCGGGGATCTCCAGGATCTGCTTTGCCTGCTGGTCCCCATCCTCCCTGCGATCATTTCCTTGCCGTAGGAAGATGTTGGCATTTTCTATTAAGGTTCCTCTCTCGCATGAACATTGGAAGTTGTCGCCCGACTGCAGTATTCTCTCGTCTTTCACTTGGGTTAGAACTGGTTTCAAACTTGGCGATTGCACCGATCTATTGGCCAGTTCCTCTCAAACCGTGAGATGAACGTTAACCTTTCGGCCAGTTGTCATAGCATTGTTCTCTCCTTCCATATGGGATCTCTAGGTGTATGTGGGATGCTCCATGTTGTTGCAGTGGGCAGGAAGGGCCTCTCAATATTGTTAGCATTGCATTTTTTACACTCTAGTTGCTTCTCTATGAGAATGTGAAATGAAAAATGCATCTGGTAAATGATCTTTCTTTGATTAGGAAAACGATGTCTAATTAAATGCAGGTTTCCTCAGGAGCAATGTGCATAAAGTAAAGAAAATTAGGTAATTTAGTGGAATGTTAAAAAAAATGAAACCAACTACCTATACTCTTCCAGACCTTAATGGTGGGCCCATCCATATTTCTCAACAGTGATGTTTATGTGTTGATTTTACAGTGCAGATCTAGCACTCTGGGACTCAGCTGCCTTGCACTAGAGTAACACTTGGAGATAAAGAGAAAGGGAAATGCCAATAACTGTTATAAATAGCAGACATATGCTAGACAACTATATGTATGAGATATATGAGGGAAAGAATGATGCTGTACAGGTCCTTATGTCTTGAAGATTTTACCTTGGTTCCAGGTTAGTTTGCATATAGGCTATCTTAGAGTAAGTGCCTCTTGTTTCTCATTACTGACTGAGGTACTGTATTTAGTTTGAGGGGGGGGAACTTCACACGTTATTTCCCTTCCTTGGCTCCTAGTCTGTGAATGGTTTCTTCAAAAACTCCATACTGGTTTAGCTGTGCTTTCTGTAGGCAGCCCATGTGAATTTAGCTAGTGTAGTCTGAAAGAAGTGAAGCAGGCTGCTTTATGGCCCTCTGGTGGAATGAATGACTTCATGCTTGGTTTATATTTGTTAAGCTTTAATTATCAAGCTAGCATATCAGTGTAGATACTGTAACATACTAAATGCTTATTTGAAAGAGAGTGGCCGTTTAAATGCATAGTTCTTAAAACGTCCTATATGTGAGGAAAGCTCCTGTCTTTATAGGTGTTGAGAATTGCTTCACTCTCTTGATTTTCAAAGATAGGCTGTTTAGCACTGGTGCGTAAAATTAATTCTGGCAGGATGATGACTAGTTTGCCACATTATAATCATCCAAGTAATATCTGAATCTCTGTACCAGGTTTTTTCTTCTAAAAAAGGTGCAGAAGATATATACAGTTCAGTAGCTATAAAATGAATATTGTTTTGAACAACTTCCAGTATAAAAGTTAATATTTTATAATGTATATTTCCTATAGTAAAATGATTTTGTATGACAATAATAGCTTAGCAAACTGCTGTATATAGAAATTGTCCCAATGAAGCATAATTATAAGATTCATAGCTATGATGTCATTTACTTTATCTTTCATAATGAGAACTTTCTTATTTTAACTTGACCAATTATGGGGTTTTTTTGGACTGGGGATTGGATAAAACAGTTACCCAATGAAAGAAATATTTTTTGTTAAGGTTAGATTTTTTTAAAAAAAAATTGCAGTTGTTTCTTATCACAGAGGGCACTGTTCAGAGACTAATTAAATCCCTGAGCTCATTGCTGTTGCTGGTCATTGTATAGGCTTGATGAACTTGATATCCTAATAGTAAGTGCCTTTTATAGATGCTGTGGCTATGGTAGAAAGTATGCTGTTACTTTAAAACTAATTTAACAAATGAGTTGAATTCTTATGATTTACACTACTTAAGGTGACATCTTCCTGGAATGCATTTTTAGCTTGGGAATACACATTAGCAAAACTTTAAATACTTCCCAAATACTCTTTTGTCAATATTTTTCTCTTCAAAAGCATTGCCTATTATGCTACAGACTTCTTTATGTATAAATTAAATTGCAGTTATATTTGCAAATATACATTTATGTCACCATAAAGACTATTAATCAGATCCCTGAGGTTCTAATAATCTTACATATTTTTCATTGCATTCAAGGCATACCTTAAGCAGAATGAAAATATTTGTACTAGTAGGGACAGGCAAACTGGAAAAAAGGAATAAATTCAAATACAATGGAATAAAATTCCATCCTACCACAGTCTTGAGTGATGCTGGGAATATTGGAGAGTGCATCCTACTTCCCATTTTTAAACTTTGTTTAAAGGATTTTTAATTGTCCTGAGCTACAAGTGAAGAATTTCTTTGATCTTCTAGCGTATTTTAGTTGAAGACTGGTAAGTGACAGTCTTCTTCAGAAGTGTCTGCAAGACTCTCATCCCCTAATTCTCTCCAAAGGCAAAGATATTTTTATTTCTTTTGTTTTTCAATTAGATATTGGATATGTATCTAGTACTTTTTGTCATACTCTAGCTTCATTGCCTTGTTCCTGGAAAGAAGTTAGGTCTATCATGTGGACCCACTTGATTGTAAACATTTGTAGAATTCGGAAACTAATAGTCGTGAATCTACTTTCTCATTGATGACATGCATTATGATGAGTAGTCTAGGGCTGTCAGTGGTCATTATGATTGGGCAAGTAGCTAAAATAATTTCACTAGCTGTTTTTTCCTGCAATAAGTACAGATTGCTTAATAGAAAATGTATTTCGTATAAAGTAAAATTCTATACAGGAACAGTTACTCTTTATTAGGCTACTTTGATGTAGAAGATGCAATCATTTGTGCCTTTAAATGAGATAAAGTATGGTTGAACACAACCAAGATCAGATTTTAGAGAAACAGGTAAAGGATTGGCATGTATATACACTGACGACAATGTACAAGGCAGTCTGGAAAGAGTTACAGATTAGGCTCTGAAACTTTATCTGTAGCCTGTTTTTATTCCACAAATCATTAGAATTGTCTACATTCCTCTAAATTTTAGAGGAGCTTCAGTCTAACTAATGCCAGTCCATCTTTGTTTTTGTTGTAAGTTCTCAAGGTAATGGGCATCATATTCCTCTTCCAAATATGTCCTCAAGAGTAACTCTGTAAAATGTTACACTGCGAAATGGGGATAATCTGAAAGTTATCCAGGAAGATTCATGGCTGAGTGAATGTTTGAATCTGGTCTCCCAGGTCCTAGTTGAACATTCTTATTCTAAATAGTTGATATTTATTGATTACTAGTAACTAATTATTTTGTCTTTATATTTACTAGGTTTCTATTGTGGGATAGTTCTCTAAAAATGGCTCAGAGGACTTTGCAAGAAGACCCTGAGAGGTACCTCTTTGTGGACAGAGCAGTAATCTACAACCCTGCTACCCAGGCTGACTGGACTGCTAAAAAATTAGTCTGGATTCCATCAGAACGTCATGGCTTTGAAGCTGCCAGCATCAAAGAAGAGAGGGGAGATGAAGTGTTGGTTGAACTGGCTGAGAATGGAAAGAAAGCAGTTGTCAACAAAGATGATATTCAAAAAATGAATCCTCCCAAGTTTTCTAAAGTAGAAGACATGGCAGAATTGACCTGCTTAAATGAAGCCTCTGTTCTTCATAATTTGAAGGACCGATACTATTCTGGGCTCATTTATGTAAGTAGTAATTATTTGGCTGACGTACTATCCAAAAATTGACTTTATCAGTTGAAATGTTCAAAAAAGGAAGTGCTCCTTTAGTCTGTAGACTAACAGATTTTAAAATGTAAGCTTGGTTTTTACTACTTTCTTAATACTATGATTTTAATTCTGATCACCGCAGTACGTCTTATTTCTCTAGCCTTCGATATGTTTAATTGTCCCACCTGCTGAAGTACAGTGCTTGGCTGTTTAAGAATAGGTCTTCTAAATAGTTCCCCAGTTATGGTATGTCTTTCTCAGAGTACACCCATGTTATCTACTCTTGTCTTTTTGGCACTAAGGAAATAACTTTTTAATCTACCAGTCCTTTTCATTTTTAATTTTAATCTCAATGCTATGAATATGTCTAATCAGTTTCATCTTTATAACTTTAATATTTGCTGTTTAAAGGCTCTGAGGTGATTGATGATTTTCAGCAAAATATATTTTATTTCTAGTAAGTTGGTATATAGTTCATCACAAGGCTAATATACTGTTTCTACAAATGCAGCTCCAGGAGTAAACTGAATCTAGAATATTAGGAGCGGCAGGTGTAAGAGTTAAAAATATAGTATAGATAGTCCCCAGTTTAAGAAGGAGTTCTGTTCCCAAGGTCTGTCCTTAGGTCAAATTTGTATGTAAGCCAGAACAGTATTATTGTATAATACTGTATAAGTAGTATTGTGTAATGAACTCGAACCATTGTGTATTTAACTCAAATTTTGCTATAGTAGGCTCTCTTCTTAACTATGGGTTGTCCTTAAATTGGGCATTCTTAACCCGGGGACTACCTATATTGTATAGACAATTTAGACCATAAACTAGTACTTGTAACCAAGTATATGCTGAATCCAGTATTAATAGGTCTATACTTCTGCATCCCTGAAAATGGTCCCTGTATTTGTAGTAGATTGACATTTCTGATTCCTGAAGCTACTAAAAAGTGACTGTTGTTTGTTAATCTGCTGAATTAGATAAGCAGTAGTTGGCAGAAGCATTTTCACCCAATTAAATATAATTGCTGCGAAGTTATAAGAACAGTGGTGTTTGGATTTGATCAAAGGTTTATGTGGCCTAGTTTCCTTATGCATATGCTTTGTGGTACCTGGTTTTGACATAAATATTGCCTTTAACATTGGAGGTAAGGTCCATTGGGTCAAACTGATTGTCTGGAAGGATAAAACTTTCATTCTTAACTTTCTCCGTGCTAAACATTATTTTATCAATGCTTATAATGGCTTGCATTTTTAACTAAAAATTCATTCTCCTGTGATATAATTTCTTACTCCTTTGATGCGCTGTTCTGCACCATATCTAGTTCAGCAATATCCATTCTGAAGTATGCTGATCAAAATGATATGCAGTTCAAAATGTGGCCATGCCATAAACTCGTAACAGCCTATCAGTGGGACAACACTTTATTTATTACATTTATGTGCCATCTGACTTCCAACAACTTCTGTCAAACCATTTGCTATACACTGTTGGACCCTATCAGAGTATCTGGTTGTAAATGTTTTGTAGCAGTATGGATAATTTCACAGCTGCTTAGATTAATAGTTCTAAGTTTAAAGATAACTTTGGAACTCTTAACTGCCCTGTTTTGCTATAACTACCTAAATAATTTTTTGACAACAAATTTATCCATGCCAGTGGTCACTTTTAATGATTTATGGCCAAATTTGAAAAAGCAATATAATCCTCAGGAGATCCCATTTGTTATTAATTAATTATTAATTAAGTTAAAAAGCTGTCCTTGAAGTTCATTAGGGCTGGGGTGGGTATCTATCACATATAGTGAGACATACAGTACTGTAATGCAGTAAATGTGTTCCAGCATGTAGAGTAATAGTAGCTTGTATATATGATCCATTATATATGCCTAGACTACTCTCATGATAACATGCATAATATAAGTACTGTAACAATGATTTCAGTGGGCTTTCAAATGTATAACATGTTTCAGCTTGCTGAAGAGCTATAGTACAGGCAGTCCTTGTTTAATGACCGTTTGTTTAATGATAGTTCAAAGTTATGACCACCTCAGAAAAAGTGCTTTAAGACCTGTACTCTCACTTATGACCATCACAAACTGTGGCACCACTCCCCGTGGTCACATGATCATGATTTGCAACTTTTTAACAACAATTGTAAAGTGAATCATGTTAAACGAATTCTGGCAAAAGCATCAATTGGGGAAGCTGAATTCACTTAACAACCACCTGATTTGCTTAATGACCACATGATTTGCTTAATGACAGCAGTGATTTGGTTTACAACTGTTGTAAAAAATGGTCGTAAAATTGGGTGCTCCCTTAAACTCTGAGAATACAGTCTCTTAGTTCCCCAGTCTTTTCTTAACCATAAGCAAAATATTCAAGTTTCTGGCCTGATGGAGAAATCTGAAACAAAGGAGTATTGCTGTTTTATAACAGCAAAGACTTAGAGTACTTTTGGATATTTCAGTAGGTAGAAAGTCAGTTGGGTCAAATTGTGTAGTATTATATAATAGCTGGAGAAAATAGAACCCTCTAAATGTACCTCCTTTAGGTTGAACAAAGCCATAGTATAGCTGTTCTGAGATACAAAATAAGGTTCTTATTTTTTTAAAATAATAATTTTTATTGAAGATTACAAATACAAGAATAAAAGACTAATACAAATGAAAAAGAATAAAAAAGTTTTAAAAAGTGCGGAGAAAAAAGGAAATAATAAAGAAAAAAAAGATATATAAAGAAATGGCTTCCCCCTCCATCAAGACAAGTACAAACGACTTCAGTAGCTTATCCCCTCTGACATTTTAACAAAAGATCTTTTCTTCCCAATTCTCATCTCGTCAGTAAACAAATTATAAAGCCTCATCATTCAGCCCTAATCAGCAAAAGTCTATTAAGTTACCAGAAATAGTAACATATATATTTTAACCTTAATCAAGCAAATCAGTTTATATATCTTTCCTTTTAACACAGTAACTTATCACTTTCTCTAAAAATACAGCAAAAAAAAATCTCTTTTCATATCTTGCCTCTTATCTATAAACAAATCTTTAAAGCCTCATCATTTGTTCCTAATAAAAAAAAAGTCCATTAAGAGCTGCCAGAAACAACAACATATACAGGTAGTCCCTGGGTTAAGAATGCCTGGTTTATAGATGACCCATAGTCAAGAATGGAGCCTGTTGTAGCACAGTTCGAGTTTATAATGATTTGTATCAATGAATTGATACAATGCACAATGATTTGAGTTAACTACACAATGGTCCGGGTTCATTACATAATACCACATATACAGTATTACACAATAATACAGTTCCAGCTTACATACAAATTCGACTTAAGGACAGACCTTGGGAACGGAACTTGTTCTTAAACTGGGAACTACCTGTATATTTTAACCTTGATCAAATAAACCCACTTTGTATTCCTTCCATTTACTTTTAAGAATCTTGTTCTTTAATCTCTTCAGTATTACACAATAATACAGTTCCAGCTTACATACAAATTCGACTTAAGGACAGACCTTGGGAACGGAACTTGTTCTTAAACTGGGAACTACCTGTATATTTTAACCTTGATCAAATAAACCCACTTTGTATTCCTTCCATTTACTTTTAAGAATCTTGTTCTTTAATCTCTTCAGATAGTGCCCCACAAGTTGATTTCTTATCATTTTCTCTTTGTCTCCTCTCAGAAACTCCTTTAACACATCTCTTGTAAATCCAAGATAAGAAAGCTATCGAAGTCACTCTTCTGATTTATTATTTGTATGTCCCCTTTAATTTATTAAGACATCAGTCGGTTTCATTTGTAGATTCAGTGTAACACTGTTTTCCATATCATTCTTGTAACCTGACATTTTAAAATCTATTTTCATATCCACATTCAAATCAGCCTCAGTCTCTGTTTTATCCAGTAAAATTTGCTCTTCCATAACTTCTTTTGAATCCATTTTTATAATAGCTGACATTCTTAAGAGTAATTTCTGAGCAATTTTCTCCAAATATCCTTGAATTCTTCCATAGTCAAATAATATTGCTCCATTCTGTATTAATGAGTCTCTTTTCCTTTATTTATTTATTTATTTAATCTTTAGTTCTCTCTGATTCCTTCTAGTCAACCTTCAAAGTCCCCTCTTATAATTTTTTCCCCCTAATCAACAACACTTTCCCATGGGAAGATTTTTTATAATTAGTTTCAAAATCTTGATATATATTTTTTGTAAAATTTTAAACAACTCACAGAAAGTATTCTTGTAATTAATTTCAGAAACTTATTTCAAGTCCATCTGGCCCCTTAATCTGTTTATAACTTTCCAAAATCAATGTTCTAGTTACCCTTTTGCTGTTTATTCAAAAATCATTTTTTTAAAAAAAAGTTTTTAAACTTGCATGAAACTTCTTTCATCAAGGATAGAAGGAAACTCACCTGGTGTAATGAAACTTTCCGTTCTGAAGGTTCTTAACATCCACAAAACTATTAACAAACAATTTCTTAAAGTTGTTAAGAAAGGACGTATGCGAACCCAGTGTCTTTTTGAAGGTGCTGAACTGTGGCTTAGGCAAGATGACTTTCCCCCAGTTCCCAGAGCTCTAAAACCCATTGGAGACTATCTCCTTGTGGGGAGCCATTGTATGGAGCTCTTGTGGGAGATCCTGGTCCTCTCCTTGCTCCAGAGAGGAGTTCTGAGGAGCCTATCCATTCACCAGCTCCTCTTTCTTCCATGGTTGTTGGCTCCTTCAGTCTGCCATTGCTTCCCTGGAAGTCCACAAAATAAGGTTCTTATTTTTTATTAAATGTAAGGTGCCTGCTTCTATAAACAGCAGTCCTGCATGTTTCCATTTGTTTTTTGGTATAAAATGTGAAAAATCATTGGATTACTTTATGCCACTGCAGACCATATCTCTAAAACACAGTGGAGGACAGGAGAACAATTACAGTGATTATGCATTTTTAACCCTAAAAGAACAACAGTGGCATCCAAACTTAAGTCTTGGGTGACAACTGTACATTCAATTCCAGCCGTGTTTTCTGTTTGAAATTTAGTGCTGTCAATTCTGTTTATCAATAGAAATTAGCAACTTTGGGTGGCATTTCCAATTGCTAAACCATATGTGACAGGTAAACTCTTCCATGTTCTTTACTCACAGATTCTTTTTTGTTGTTTTTTAATGAAGAGCAGCTTTGAGGCAATGACACCAGGAGGAGGAACTTCTCTGTCATTCTGCTTTCAAACTGCTTTCTTCCCTTGATCATTCAGAGGCTTGATCTTAATGATATTAAATTTGAAGGGCAAGGGTAGGAGGAAAAGCTCAGAGAAATCCTATATGCTCATTTATTTATTAGATCTATTTATATGTTGATATTAAAAGACAGACATTGGCATTGTATTCTCTTGAACTTTTTATCTTGAATATATTTACATTTTGGAGGATTTAATTTAAACAACCAAACTTCTTTATGACTATTTGAAATTATCTACTCTTACTGACATACTGTTTTTTTACTTTTGTCTTAATGCTTTTAATAACCAATTAGTTTTCTCAGCAGTGTTTTTAAAAAGAAGACAGTTTAAGCTTAATCTCACCCTCAGTGGATTTGTGACAATAGTTTTCACTGTAGCTGAAATTTGCACTACCTATCTTTCCCAGAAGGTTGTCAACTGCTATACTCTGGTACATCCATTTGGAACCAGGATTTTGTTCATTGGTGATCTCTTTCTAATCATAAATTAAAATAATTTCTTGATTGTGGATCAGGAAGAGACTAATCAGCTTTTTTCTTCTGTAGACCTACTCTGGACTCTTCTGTGTAGTCATAAATCCATACAAGAACCTTCCAATTTACTCTGAAAATATCATTGAGATGTACAGGGGAAAGAAACGCCATGAGATGCCTCCACACATTTATGCAATATCAGAATCTGCATATAGATGCATGTTGCAAGGTAAGAATCTTACTTATATGTCATATGCTGACATTGTGCCTAGCATTTTAGAATTACGAGCAAATATAAGATTAACATTAAAGACTGTGGCATCATAGTAAATGCCATTAGCTTTGCACACTTCAGTTCATTAGAAACCTGACTGGTTTAAATTTTTAGATAGTAAATGGCCTTCTGTTGTGAAATGAAGGATTCTCATTAACCAGGTAGAGAAGTGTCTACTTGCATAATAAAAAGCAGCACATTGCTTGTAACTTTCAAATCTTCTGGTACCATTTTCTTAGATTTGGGAAATGGGCTTAGAGCAGGGTAATGTGAGAAGAATTTATTAATTCCCAAAATGTTTTGTGTATATTAATTAGCTGTAATTCTTACAATCTTGTAAGGCAAGTCAATATATCCCACCCTCCATCCCTGGAAATGCTAAGAATGGGCAGGGGTATGCTTGTTTAAGGACTCCTAAGAAATCCATATTAAAACCTCTGTCCAAATCTGGAAATTCGTGATCTACTGCTGCCTATCCCACTAGGTGGATCAGATGAGGAAATTAACTTCACAGGAAGGCTAAAACTACTTTTATTGAGGTTGGCTATAATAACAGAATCTTGTAAGTCTGATTGTGCTGTACCTCGCCCTCCTCCTCCTTTAAAGTTCATTGAATTAGGAGGCTTCTGCCTGAGCCACTTTGTAATGTCATCTCATAGTTCTATACTTAAAATATGCTTCAGTCCCCTTTACCCAGATTCCTGTATTTCTCTGTCACAGTCATCTTCCTTACTCTCTATAGCTGTTTAGTCTCTTCCTGTTTACATGAATATCCTACAAGCTAGCATTTTAGGTTAGAGACAATATGAAATCATGCAATTTTACTGAAGCTGTGGAAAAAAACTCTGTTTTCCTCATTTTTTTTTCTTTGTTTAGGCTTAATGGTATCCTGGCTTAGTATGATCTGAGAACAGGGTCATTAATGTAGAACGTTGAGAGAAAGGAGGAAATAATTGACTATCACATGGGGGGCTGGAATGGAATGGATTGGATGGATGAGGAGGGAAAGGGAAAGGTATAAATGGAAGAATGGAAGCAGACCCATTAATTGTCTGTATATGTCAATTAATTAAATGCTATTTACAGTCCCAGACTAATAAAAATACAAAATGTAAAATCTAGAAGCAACAATAAAACACAAATACAAAATTTAAAAATACAGGGGAAAAAACCTCCAAACCTGAAATAATAACAGGAAGAGAATATCACCCATCTTCTGCAAGTCATAGCTATTGCTAGAACCTGGCAACCTTTATAGTGGTTGTCCAAGTTAGGTCTTGCAGAAATAAGATTATAATTTCTTGATCAGACTAAACTTTCTGATAATTGGGTTTATGAGTGCCAGATGCCATGTGTGGTACAATGGGCAGCGTAGTAATAAGTGGATTTTTGACTGAACCATTGTATCAGCAGAAAAGCACATGATTGTTGTATGGGAGAATAGTATATTTGCCTATTGTCTCCATAATTGGTAGTGCACCAATTTGAGCCAAGGTAAAAAGTCTCCTACGAGAAATGTGTAAGATGTAATAAAGGTAGCTAGGAATAGTCCACGGAGAAACTGCAATTGTGCCATAATAGGGATGGATGATTTGGGCCCTGTTATTTTATAGATCTAAATCCCAAATCCTCTCTTTAAGTTTGATTAAAAATGTATCTAGGCCCAGAAATGATATTGCCTGGGGTGAGAAGCCCCAATACGCTAAATCCAAATCAATTTGCCTTCTTGAGGATGAGGAAAACCCATTCAGTAGGGTGAGGTGACCCAGAGACTCGTCCCAGAGGATTTGTTTCAACCCAAGCCTGAAACAGCAAAGTCTCAGGCAGGCCCCAAGAGAAATGCAGCCAAGCTCTAGCAGAACAAGGGCATTTGACGTTGAATCAGGGACATGGAGTATGGCTTTCAGAACTGAACAGTTTCTAGAGTAGGTGTATCCTTATTAATACAGATTTGTGCACCATATAACAACAAGGCCCAGACCTTTGCTTTACACAGTTTTATTGCTGCAGGAACAGAATTATTGCTGTGATGACTAACATGTTTTAAGATTACATGAGAAACTTTTTGAGCTCTAAGAGAAAACCCACTCAATTGGTTATTCCAGTCGGTGGAGCGTTGAAAGTGGATGCATAGGTACTTGAAACCCCTACCTGAACAATTGGTGTTTTATTGATTTCCCATTTAACAGGGGACTTAAAGCATGTTCTAGAGAAAAATAGAGCCTCAGTTTTTGAATAAATGATTTCAAAAAATTCCCTAGAACAGTAGGACAGTAAAGCAACTTGGCATCCACAAAGGCTTACTTGGATTATGGATAAGATGGCCCATTATCTGCATACAAGAGGATTGAAATAGAATGGTGAGCAAGTGTTGGGGGGTTAAATTCTGGTTTAGAAAGAGCCAAAATGATGTTATTTATATAGAACAGTATTTACAATACTGTTATATTGAACAGTGAAGGGACAAGGATATAGCCCTGTTTGACGTCCCTGAAGATAAGGATGGGGGAAGGTTAAATCGCTGTTATAATTGCCTCTAATCTGTGTTGTATTTTGGTGTAACAGAATTATCAGTCTGAGGAAGTGACAATCCTGAGGAATGCTGTGGCTAATTTCTTACTAGTTTCTCATGAGGACTTGAATCAAAGACTACCCTTAAATCAATAAAAGCAGCATGAAGGGTGCCTTTAGTAGGGCTAGAGTATTTTTCAGCTAAATGGTGCAAAATTGCTGCTCAGGGATCAATATATTCTCTGAATACATCCAGTCTGAAAGTTTATGGTATAAAATTGGGCATAGAATCCTATAATTATTGATAGTAAACTAATTGGGTGATAGTTGAATTTTGCCTGTTGCCTTTCTTGTGTAATGGCAGAGTGATAGAATTAAGCCACTCTTTGGGGAGAGATAAAGATTTAGTCTGTCATTTCTTGATTCACGTTCAGAAACTATTTTTAAAATGTCCTGAGGGAGAGGAATGAGATATACCCATTGACATAGAGTAATTCAAGAGTTGGGGATGGCATAATAACTTGGTATATACACGCTAAAGTCTCTCTCACTTACGTTTATATGGCTCAAAATTACATTGACCATGAATGGAATGTATCAGCCAACTCAGTATAATTTTGCTTTTTTATAGATTTTAATTTTTATACCTGCCCCAGAAAAAAAGAAAAGATCTTGCTGGTTCAGCCCATTTGCAAGACTCCAGATGGCTGCCTTGCAGAAGCTGGCTTTTGGTTTTTGGGGAGTAACTTGCTCACCTGTGATGGAAGGAGTCACCCTGTTGGCACTTACGTTAGCTTCTACACTATATGCAGCCTTTTCACAATTTTAGGGGAGAGGTTTCTCAGTTGCGTTGCTGGATGCTAGTGCCACCTTAGACTGTTTGCAGCCATGAGTGGCCTATGAGCAACATTACCATCCAGGGATGTATTCGAGAGGGCCTCTCCTTCAATATTGGGAAAGAGCAATTCAGAGAAGAGAACCCAGGATAAGACTCACGGAATGAGCAGGGCAACTTCCCCTGTCATCAGTTGAGTGAGTTACTCTGAAGAAGGCCAGCTTCTGAGAAGAAGTCACATGGTGCCTCTCAATGGGCTCACCCAGTGAGATCCACATGACCAAATGAGGAAAAGCAAATACAGGTATATTTCACATATGGCTGCTTTGGGAAGAAGAAGGAAGAAGTATTTGTGGGAGGAAGAGGATTCTGGATAGGCTCCAGAATCCTTTCCATAAACTCAAGGTCTCATTCATGGTTTGATTATCTGCAGTTTTATGCAGAAACTAAACTCCTTTGAATAATAAGAGCCATTTGTTTGGTCAACTGCTTATACAGTTTAATGTTAATAACAGGTGCTAGTTCTTACTTTACTAAAAAATCAAGTTATGTGAAAACAATTTAAAATACATTTTCCCTGATGTTAGAATGTGTAGTACTGAGTTGTAAACTAAAATGTTTCAGTGATCAGATTTGCATTTATATATTTACAAATTATGTAAAGTACTATCAGTAGGAAACTGTAGAGATTTAAATTGGATTTTAAAAAGTGATTTTAATTATTGAAATTGCTTTGATTTAAATCAGTTCTTAAACTGGTGTAAAATATAGCAGTATTGTTTCTAAAAAGATGCACAATATTGTGGTAGTATTCCAATACTCAAAGTTCTGCACTGATTTGTGGTTTTGGCTTCGATTCAAGGTACTGTTCATCAGCTTTTCAGCTTAACTGTCTAAGGGATTGCTTGTCTTACTGTGTATTTCCCTAGTTGCTAAAATCTGTATATTGTAAATGAAGAGACAATATAGATGTTACAAATTTGGCTTACCATACAGGACTAAAAAGAAAAATATGTAACCAAATAATGGACTACAGAACAAGTTATTTTTGTCTCCCTATTCTTGTTTTATCACTTAGACATTAGTGTTTCCATATGTTCTTTTTTATAGTTTGACTATAAATACAATGGATGAACAAGTGAAGTTCCTCTCAGATAAAAATAATTTCTCAATTGTTCTACTGGGACAATTAATTTGAAGCTCAACAGTAGGAATGAAAGCACTCAAAACCATTGAGATTCAGTACTAAGTTCAAACATAAGCAATAGCATATTTTCCTATCAGCATAAAGAATCTATATGTATGAAATGAAGAACACATTAAAAAGCTTTGGAGAGTGGCCACAATAATATTGCCAAAAGTATTTTCAGAAGTCCATTTGGGAAGAAGAACCAATTTTAAAATTAATTAGGAAAAGTTTACAATAGTTTAATATTATGACACTTGTTGGGTTCCTGCATATTCTGGCCATGTTAACAAATAATATAATCTGGTGTGAGGAGAAAAAAAACTATGGAGAAATCAAAATAGTTTGCTTGTTTATCTGCAGAGTGTTTCATGAGTAACTGAAGAAACCATCGGTGTACACTATTAATGCTGTTCAGATGTT